AAAAAAAAGATTCAATTTCTGTTAAAAACAGTTTCTATTTTACAATCCTGACATTTTTGATGAATACATTACAAATCAGGTCTTCAAGACTCCGCATATATAAATTTTTTAAAGACATTCGGAGGCTTTAAAGGACATTTAAATACTCGGTTTAATGGGCTACGAGGTATAACGTAGCATGCGCTGCTTCACAAGTACACAAAGGTGTGCCAAAAGCACAGTGTGAACTGAGCTAGCTGTAGTTTGCACCACCACCCCCATTACAAGTCAGCCTTTCTTCTGTTTCATAGCTTTTACAATCCTTGGCACTACTTAAAAGAATGAGCTGTAGCACAACAGCAACAGTCTGTCAGGCACAGGCAGCAAAGAGAAAGAGCTCAAGCTAGCTCTCATGAGATCCCTCCACCCCCAGCGATGGACAGCAGCAGCAATGCAGAGCTCTTTCCTTTCCACCCCCCTCCCCCTCTCCCTGCTTGAAAGTAACACTGCCAATGTAATTTTCCGTGAGAGCTGCTCCATTTATCAAGGCCAGTGGCACATCGAGGAAGCTGACAATGCCTCACTCCTCTAGATTTGTATAATGAGAGGTGGGAGAGTGAGACGCACTCACAAGGTGGTTAGCACTTGTACGAAGGAAGCAGAGATGATTTATTCAGCATCTGAGAGCCAAAGCTTTGGGGAGTATTAACTTGGGACACAGAAAATGTAGCCATGGCTATTACACTGGCACCATGGAGAACAAGATTGCTAAAGAGACATGTACTGATTAGCAGATGGATTACACAACTCCGGTTCCTTCAAATGAACCCATTTTGAAACTGTTTTCCAACCCCCTAATCCTCCTTTATTTCAACTGATCGCACTTTGCACAACACACAGCAAGAATGTATTACACAGCTGAGCTGAACTCAAACTTCCCCGCCAAAGAAAGATTGAACGTGAAACGAGCCATTAAGTTTGACACAGTGATCCAACTGCAAGCAGTAATCATTTTTCTGTGTCATTTCTAATTCCCATGAATGCCAGTTTCACAGTTAACTGCAGGATAAAAAAAAAAAAAAAAAAAAAAAAAGCAAAAACATAAAAGAAAACTGAATGCTCCGTAAGGTGGATGTACGATAATCAACAGCATCTGCACAGTTGCAAAATGGTTCTCTATGCAGTAACATCTTCATTACCTGCTGACAGGGAAACCTGAAACCGTTTTTGAAAGGTAAATAGGTTTCCTAAAAAGGAATTACAAGTTGGTTTTAGTTCAAGGGCTGTAATGTCATTGTGGTTTAAATTTTTGTTCCCCTTCATGCACCACAATCAGAAAGAAAGTTGATCCCATAAAAGAATAGTTATTTGACTTACAGAAGGTCTACTTTCTTCAGAGGTATTGGGAGAACAACTTTCAACATAATGGAATGAATTCTGATCACCAGTGTTGATTTAGGGGCTTCTCAAGTGTTTTCCTTATAGGTCATGATTTCAGAATAAAACTGCTAAATCAAACCGCCTCTGATAAGAGCTGGCTCATTTTGAGCTGGCCAGGTTATGTGGTGAGTGGCGACAGTTCATATCCACCAACAGTGATAGCTTACTTTATATCTACTTGCCAGCTCAAAGGGACAAATATTCTAACTTTGCTTTAAGTTTTTGTTAATAAAAAAACAAAACAAGCAAACTATACATTGAGTTACCTTCAAGTTTGTCCTTTGACTCGGACGTCTACATGTTTTTGTTTTTATAGCATTCGAAGATTTCCGATCAGTGAATGATTGGTTGAAGTCATTCCAGCAATGTTTAGGTTCCTGTTCCATGTCACAAGGTAGTCACATTCCTGTAACTTTAATGAGCTTAAGAGGCGATGCTGGACTGAAGACCAAGGGTGACATAAGTGATATATATATATAAAATCAGAAGCATCAGCAGTCCACGGTGTGAAGTGAGAGGGCATGTACCTCTTGATTTTACGGAGTCCGTCGGATCTGAGAAATGTGCTGCTCAGTGAAATCTGACGCTGATAACATGCTAAGGATGCTCCACAACAACTGGGCTTGTATTTAAAGCACTGAATGGATTTGAAAAGGCAGCATGAGGATCACAACAAGTTCCTTGGGGGCCATGGGGATCCCCCACACATCTCATCCACTGCTCAGATGAATGCCGAGTGTTGAAAGCCACACCTCTTTGATTCTGTAATCTCAACAGGACGCCATGAAAGCACACATAGTCCGATCTGGATGAATGGACAAAGTTATCCGCAGTGTGGGCTAGTGCCTCTTTGTTTATCAAGGAACGATGATCTATAACGAACTTTACTTATATATTAGTGGTTAGATCTGCTTGATGTAGTCTCTAAACAACACATATGCTTAATGATACTCATGAAGCAGCACGATGTATCAGGTAGCAATGGTCATCGCAGTATCAGAGTGAGGAACAGCACGATCACAAAGAAATGCTCGTATGCAATATTTACTAGGCTGGACTATTAGATTTCAGGTTTCATGCATTTATTCTCTAGATGTCAGTAATACATATCGCCAGTTGGATGGAGTTTCACTCTTCTAGGCCACACTTGATGAATATTTTAGTGACGGACATGCTATAGCTATAGTATTTGCTGAAGGTACAGCCCATGCTTCAGCAACACGAGTCATCGACTAATGCCTAAGTTCACGACGAGATTTTAATCCAAATTTTTCTCACGATTTCCCCCTTCTGACAATTATGTTAATTACTGGGATGAAACTTAAGATAACCTTAAGAGGTATTGCTGCCATGTGTGGTGTGTGAAGATTGATCTAGTCCATTCGGAAGAATGTCGGGGACCACTCCGATCTAAAATTGGGAATACTCAACATGTTGAATTGACTTGCCTCAATGCCGCAGAATGTTTGGTGTTCCTTGAGGAGAAAATGCATTTAGTCAATGACTGGCTAAACGGATGCAACATTTAGCCAAAGGCGAATTTAAAATACACCAAAGACATGGCGAACCAGAAAATTTGGTTAACATTGGAGACATAATTGTAGTGTTTTTTTCTCCGCTATACTCCAGAAACTATTGATTTTTCCTAGTCTGCCATGTTTGTCTGCTCTTAATTCATGTTTGGTGAGATTTTAGGAGAATTTCCTTTTGACATTTGAATGTTGGTGAGTTTGTGTGTGGTGCATTGCTCATGTCATGTGGTTGAACACCACACACTGTCCAGCCAAACCTGTTATGGCTAAGAGATTTTATTGCCACGTGTGGTCTCTCGGGTTTTGAAAATCTTGCCGGGTAAACTAGTCATGAAGTGGATCAATTTACGAGAGGGAACTGTGCTGCTCCCAGAGAATGTGTACAAATCTGATTATACACGAGAATACTTTTCACAAGTGATGTTTTTGCCTCATAGAAACAGTCTCCAAACACTATGACCAGAAAGTGGTAAAGGATCCAAATTGTATTTGAAAATACACAAGGAGAAGCACATTTAAGAAGACCTTTTGCTTCAAATACTCATTCTCATAATGATAAAACTAATGAATTGAAGGTGAAAATATTGACTTTGTTCAAACTTGTAAGGCAAAGTTTATTTAAATGTAAAATATGATCAAACCATCAACCTAAATGCATTCTTCTGGCTGTACTTGACCTTGCTTTTCCTCTTATGGAACGAAACGTTCCTCTATGCAGAAGCACATATCAAAGAAAAACAAACTGCCTAACAAGAATTAAATGCTCTTTTTGTTCATTATCCTTCAACTGGGCTTACCTGACTATATAAAAGCCTCTTCAAGTCAATATTGATTAGCGCTGCTTTTGAATCACACCTCACCACCTTCTTGTTTTCCAGGATACATTTCAACAGCCTGCAGCTACAAAGCAGTTCTGACCTCTGTCTTTTATTCACTGCTGCCTGTTGTTCTTGTTGGTTCTCCCCAAAAAAAAGGTCCTTTAATTCTAAATACACTATGATTACAAAGACTTTCCTAAAATTCCTTTCATAGCTGTCCAGCCACAGGAGGCTCTACAGCTTGTGTTCATGACTGGGTGTCCTGGATTTAAGGAATCAAACAGGCTTCCTTGTCGCCCATCCCCCACGCCACTTTCAGAGCACCAGGAAAACAGAGGAAGGCGTGCGAGCACCAGCTCCCCCTCCACACACGCTGCTCCACCAGGCATTGCCGGGGCTTGTGGGATTAAGAATGGAACACGATGACAGACAAAAACAGTCCTCTGCACCTCCCCGCTCTGCTGTCTTTTATACCGCAAGAGCATGAAAAGGCTGCTATGAAGCATACAAAAGACACAGTGATAGATCCGCTCTGAGTGAACAAGATAAGTGTGGGTGAATAGCTACACAGATCTTTATATTATTCTTGTATGACAATGTCAGCGTCGAAATTGTTCAACAACAAAAAGAAAAAGTGGAACACGCTTCAACGTTTGCTTGACTTCGCAGGCGAAATGCTTTGTACCGCCCAAGGCTGACAGTGTCGATTGTCTTCCGGTCCGCAATTAATTCTTCACTGGCTAATGTGAAGAACTTTAGTTAACTGTTACTTAACAGGCCTTGAGAAGTGTTTCAAATGGGAAATAAACTGTCCAATCCTTTAAGATAAATAAAGCCTTTGCAGTCAAGTCAAGTCAGGAAAAAGAACATCTCCACTGTGTGGACCATTTCCTGTGGCGGGTCACGGCATCCCATTCGTCAAGGGTGCTCTCATTCATAGGACGGTAATAAAAGAGAAAACAGCAGTGGGCCTCTTTGCATGCATCACATGTCAGATTGCTTTAGGGAATGCAGTGCATCTCCATGCCCGCTGAAAGCAACAGGCTGTCAAAGCGCAATGTCAAGAAGCCCAAAGCGCTGGTTCAGATTGCATTAAATTGATATAGATGAAAGACAGTTTTGTTTTAAAGAGCTACATCTACGGCTTCTAAAACTCACTAGAGAAAACAGAAAAAACGTGGTATTCTAAACACGCCAATCAGTGTTTTCATTTTATGCTTTTTTTTTTCCCCCTTTGGTTAAAATGCCAATGCTTTGATCTAAAGAAGAAACACACTATGAGTACATCCCCAATTCAAGAAGGAATTAATGTCAAATGCAATTTGAACGTGATCCGTCAAAGCAAAAGGTGATGATAGATATTCAACAAACATCACAACGGAGTAAAATGAACAACCTACCTTCTCGTTTTTAATCTTCTTTAACGTCTTGCAATCGCTGTTAACATTTTCCACCTCATCTGGTTCAGTTTTGGAGGTCAAAGCTGGTACTATCCCAACAGATTCAAGTGCAATATTCCCCATTTGATTAGCATCTGCCAAGTCTGGTGATTGTGTGTTCTCAAAGGACGCATTACGACTATTTCCCAAAGCAACTTGGGCCTGAGATACGTCCTTCTCAGAGACGCCAATTGCCACGACTGGGGCACCATCTGTTTTGTCTTTCTTATTTTTCCCGCCGGCTCCTTCCTTGTCTTTTTTACCTCCGAGAACACCTCGGGAGGCCTTGCCCCCTTTTTCCATGTTCTTCCCGGAGGTGGAATTGTTGCCGGCAGCGACCGCGCTCGCTGCTGCACCTGTTGGTTCCCCTTGAGTCCGTCCGGTGGGCTCCTTTTTCCCCCCATCCGCGGAAGCTTTGCTGCTATTGTCTTTAGAGTTCTTGCTGCGCTTGTATTTGGATTTGCTCTCCTTGCCTTGAGCGCCGGAGACCGGGCTGACGAATCGTATGTTGTCGGGCAACGCTGCCACTGCGCTGGGTGGTGCCGCCATGCTGTCCTTGGTGCCAGACATCTCAAGTTTGTCCTTCTCTAAGTCCGCGTCGAGGTCGATGATCAGATTTCCAACACCGATATCCCACTCATCCCCGCTGTCGTAAGTGTCCACCGCATTCGAGTCCACACCTTTCCCGCCTGCAGTGCCACCACTTAGGGACATTTTAGTGCCAACGGCCCAGGAATGCCTCGGTGAGGTCCGACACCCTCTCGGACGGTTGGGAGTCAGGGGCAAGGGTCAGAGAATCTTCACGTTCTACTCCTTCCTGTCCCATTTAACCACATTGTGCCCTAGAAAGAAAGCAAGAAAGAAAAAGGCACAAATTAATCCAACAATTCAGACACAGAGCAGCGACAGCATCTCAGAACACAGCAGCTCATTGTAAAACAAACGTTTGATCGCGAGCCAGTAATTCTTGGATGATCACTGTGCAAACCACCACGGTAATACCCACTGGTAACAGCTCTGCTCCGAAACCCGCTCTCCATAATCACTTCCCACGGTCGTCATGGCAACCGTGGGAAATGTAGCCTAAATCCTGCTTTGACAGCCAAGGTGGCCCCCGCTGTTCTGAATGACTGACTTTCTTTTCACAAAGCGCCGCAGATAGTGTCACTGCTGATAAATAAGAAGTAGCTGGCCGATCGCACAGCCCACATGCTTTATAGAGCCGTGCCTTCTCAACTCTAGAGCACAACAGTCATGTGGTGTCAGAGGGGCTTAAAAGCGTGTGATTCAGGAGAAAAAGCAGGTTGTTGCATTTGCTTACAGAGCATAAAACAAAGATCATTGTTTTAAAGTAAATCAATACAATGGTTTTCCACAAATTTCACTTGCATCCGATTGTAGATGAGTTGGAAATCAGCAGGAAAAAGAAAAAAAAAAAAAAAAAAAAGCAATCCCGGTCTTCAAGGGGTAATCATGTAGATTTTGGATTGTTCTCTCTAAATATTCATGAATTATTAATTGAATGAATACAGTGACTGGTTACAGAAAGCTACATGAAAACAGCAGGTCAAAGTGAGCCGGTTGTGTCCATTTGTCTAATATATTTCCTACATCTTTTTTGCCATATACGACATTTGAAAAGATCCTGGGAAAGATGGGAGAAAAAAAACGGGGAAGGAAATAGATGTCTCCATGGGAATCGCACAAGCTCATCAGCTGCAGTTTACAGCTGCACTAGTGCTATCACAGTTCTTCCACATTATCCTTCACTAATATGTCACACTGGAAATGGAAACATTTTAAAAATAAGCTGCATTAGGAGCTTAGGAATTTCTGTAACAATTAAATTTTATTTTGTACAATATCAAGTGGAGTAAAATCAAATAAAATTTTGTCTAGCACATTTCAGCTACAAGGCATTTCAAAGTGCTTTACACCATAAAAAGCACAAAAACACAAAGTCATGCAACATAGAATCAACAATCAAAACATTACATTAAGTTAAGTGCCATCATTAAATTTGTAATTGATTACGTTTCAAATGCAAGGTGGGGTTTTAGTCTAGATTTAAAGGAAGTTAGTTTTTCAGCTGTTTTACTGTCATGACGTTTGAGTCATGAAAAAATGGCTTTATAGAGTATTTTAGTTTCTTTTATTCCAAAACAAGAAGACTACGAGTTCTGCACAACAGATGTCATTATTTCTTTTTTTCCCATACGTAGGCATAATTGCTAAAATGTTGCATAGTGCTCCATTGAACAAAATAATATACTGATTAGGGATGGCAATTATCAAATTTATCCATCTTCTTTGATTAGCGGGGTTCACCCTAGACAGGTTGCCAGTCTGTCACAGGGCAACACAGAGACAGACAGGACAAATAACCATGCACACCTAGGGACAAGACAGACCAATTAACCTAACAGTCATGTTTTTGGACTGTGGGAGGAAACTGGAGTACCCACGCATGCACAAGGAGAACATTCAAACTCCATGCAAAAAGACCGAGGCTGGGAATTGAACCCAGAACCTTCTTGCTGCAAGGCAACAGCTCTACCAACTGCACCACTGTGCAGCCCAATTATCAAATTGTGTCCCTTTATGGTGAATTTTGAACCAACATGAATGAGAAATTCTGCATTGAGACGTTTATAAACTCTGTAAAACTAAAAAAAAAAAATCACTAGTCTTGGGACTGCTAAGTTTACATTTCATTCCACTGCACGAGAACGGCAGTAAAAATCTAGATCCTTAGTATGGATTTACTGCTGTTATTGTGTGTAAACTGCACTACTTAATGTCTTGAAGTAGCCTATTTAATAGTTCCTAAGTTTTTCTGCAGATGCATGCTATATACAAAACAAAAAAAATAAATGTCATGGAGTGAAAATAGGAAAGGCTACGCTTCTAGTGTGGGTGTATTTCAGACATTTAGAACAAAAAAACTAATTATCGATATACTGAAAAATACGTCAAGATATAAGCATTTCATATCAGCCAAAGTGGATTCCGAGATAACTGGGTTATCTTTGTTTGAATTAGATTTTTTAAAATGATACAGAAAAATGCATGTGTTGCTACATCAGGCTAGTGGTGAAACGGTTCACGAAGAACAGTCAGACATTTAATTTCAAATTCACACAGCCACTTTTAAGCTTTATAGAATCACATTTAAAGTTAATTTGTTCATCAAGAATGTCTCTCAAGTTCAAGTGTCTAATTATCTACCCGATTCATTTACTTGTGTTATGTTCAGCCAGGCTAAACTACAAATGTTCACTCGCTTTGACGTTTAAAGCATGTGTTACTTTGACTCATTCAGACTGAATTCCCACCACATCTGAAGGTCCTTTCACTTCGTTACCGTTGGCAAAACTAATTAGGTCAGATTTTCGGTATGCTGCTACGACAAAGAAACCTTGTTGCTAGTTTTTGAATTTTCTGTTAGAGTTGAAGTACATGAGAAAAAAAAACCAAAAAAAAAACAAATCTCTAGACACAGAGGAGGACTGTTCCTTTTCATTAAACATCACTCCTCTGTCATTAGACCAACACTCCAGAAGGGTCACAGATTGCAACCCCCTGCCCTGCAGTGACAGAGGTAAAACTGTTGAACAATCATTTAATCACTGTGCCTGCTTCTTCCTCACAGATGGTTCCCCAAAGGAACAACAGGCAGTGGTGGGTTTTTGGTGGGCGGAGAGCTACAGCTGTCCCCGTAAAGCTGCTTTAACAGTTGTGAAGTCCAATTTGTCCAACACCTCCACAAAGGAAAGGTTGTAACTCTATCAGCAGTTGACCCACTGTACACCCCCTTAGCTAGAACTGCAGTGCAAGTCTCTTTTGGAAAAAATAAAAATCAGCCGAGTAAATGTCCCAGCAAGTGCCTCATTGAGCGAAAGCCATGCCTGCTGCACAAGTCCCACAGGGCTTTCACTTTTTTTTTTTTTTTTTTTTTTTTTTTTTTAGTTTTACAGATCAAGTTTCACTTTGCTTATCTATCAGCAGCCATGTAGGGGTGACTCTGGCTTGACAGTGCTAATGTGAAGACAAGGAATAGTAAGTTTACCAGGGAATACAACTAAATTAGATAAGGAAGTGGGGGGAGTCTTCTGAGTCACGAAACAAAAAGAACCAAGGCCATTCCCCAGTTTTTTAAGAGTGTTTCCAAACCTGACAGTCTAGCATATTTGCTTTGATTGGGGAACAAAAATGCAACATTTGTTACATTTTCTGGTGTGGTTCGCTTTCACAATGCGCTGTACCAAACAATATGAAAATTAATTTATATTGTGGCGTCGCTGCACCAAGAACTACTGAAGGAAACAACAAAAACCTCAGAAGAAGATACGAGTTCTATTTCCATCTTCACGAAATGTAAACAAAAATGAAGTAGCATCAAATTTTGTTGGGTTTCTCTTTTGTCTTTGGTTAAAGACCAGGGGCCATTTTCTAGTGAACATGAAACTCGCACATTTGTTTTGGTTGCAATTGCCCAGAATGCACTGCGCTATAGTCTGCTTCCTGCTTTTGGAGCAGTCTCTTGTCCACTTTAATACCCATATGAATTCGAGACATGGTAGAGTTCACTTTAATTGAACCAAGGCCTAGGTTTTTAGGCAGACCAGAGTTTACTTTTTTGGTCCTAACAAGAGTTTGACTCCCCCAATGAACCAGACTTCCTAAGCAAACGGACAAGAGTTTGCTTAAAGTGGACTGAACCCTCACACTGTTTCAAAGCTGGAGATCAATAAGGCTTCTGAGAATACAAGTCACTGCTAGCATCAACTGTGGTCAACCGAAGGACTCAAATGCAACCACATAAAAGCTATAAATCAAAACCAAAAAAACACAGTGGCTCATGACAGACAGCATTTGTTTCAAATAACAATGTAGAGTTTATATTTACTGTTTAGCATCAAAATAAAGAGCTCCAACTTCTTAACTAAATATGATGGCAGATGCTCCCAATGTCAAGATGAGGCAAAAACATTGATTGTTAAATGTTAAAGTTGAAAATCCTTGGAATATATCAAGTAATAAAAAACGAGTTGGATATTTACCAAGAAATCTTTATTGGCTCTTCTCCACTGAGGTAGCTGGTATAATTAAAATTATAAAAGACCTTACAGTCTCATTATGCTTTTACTTTTTCATTGAGGTACAAAGCCACTCACAATTATTATTTCTCATGTCTAATCCCAAGTGCTCCAAATCTTATTAAGGACAGAGAGGAGATTCGTCAAAGTTACTTTTAATTGTCTTGTACAGACGGAGAAGAAATCACGGGAGATTTTAATCTCTGAAATGCATGCCCTGCATAGTTGCGGTGCTATGCGTCGTTCCAGCTCCAACTAGTCAGACGATGGGTTTTCACAAGGAACTGGGCCAGAGCCATCCTCCCACACGTTACTGAAACAATAAACCAAAGGGCAGGAGCAAAGAGTTTGTTTATCTTCTGTCAACTTCATATTCTTTCAAATTGAGAATGTATAGGTTTACTGACTTTGGTCAGGAAAAATAAACAATTTGGAGACTTACTGTTGGGGTCTCAGATGTAATTAGACTTAAGAGACATGGTTATTAGTTGTGAGAAGAAAACCGGATTATTTAAATTTGTTTATAAAGTTTGAGTCTATTTATTCCAAGGAATCCATGAAACAGGTCATCAATGGTAAAGGTCTGCTTAGTGCAGTAACTGGTAGATTTTCCATGATCTGAGGGAAGGAAAATAAGAGTCCAGAAAATGTGGGTTAGTCATATTCTAGACAGCGGTCACAATTTTCAGCCATAGTATCGCAACTACATGTTTTCCTGATACTGTGCAGCCCAACATAATACA